ACACTTAAAGAGAATGCATTGATTGCTCTTTTAAAAAATGATGATTTGCAAATGGATGAATCAGAAATTTGGGATAAGGTTATTCAGTGGGGGAAAACAAGAACTCTAAATTTACCATCTAATCTCGAAGAATGGACAGATGAGAACTTTAAGTCTTTACAAACTACTCTTCAAAACTGTCTTCCTCATACTAGATATTTTCAAATACCTAGTAATGACGTATTAGAGAAAATCCAACCTTATCAAAATATCCTTGAAAAAACTTTATGGGTTGATATTCTAGCAAAATATTTAGCCCCAAATAAGATTATTACTTCTCCAATTTTACCACCTCGTAAAAAAACAACGGCACAACTTCCTCCTCGAAAAGCGTCTATTATCACACCGTTTTCTTCCATAATTACATTAGAACATTCAGCAGAAATTTAATCCTGAATTGACCGACATTCAACTATTTATGATATTACAAAAATTCCATACGAATTTAAACTTTTACTTAGAGGCAGTAAGGATGGGTTCGCATGTGAAGTATTTCATAAGCTATTTGATAACATACCTGGTACTGTTGTTGTTTTAAAGACTAATAGCACGAATGAAATACTTGGTGGTTATAATCCTCTTATCTGGAGAACTGGTGGTGGATTTGCAACAACGACTGAAAGCTTTATTTTTTCTTTAAAAAATGGAAGCGTAAATCAGTCTATTCATTGCCGTATCGTATAACTTATTGTCTGCGGACTTCACGTGAGATTATAAGCCTATTTAATAACGCGAAAAATCAATAATCACAACAAAAGTTTTCTTAGTCGTGCAAAAATACATCAAACACAATTTATTATGAGGGTACATCACTTGGTCCATGGTTTAGTTGTCATGACCTTGGGATGGCGTATAGTTCTGAGCTTAAAAAATGGCATTGTAAAAATCAATATTATGAAAAGCCAATAAGAAATACAATTAATGGTCCTTTTTTAATAGATGAATATGAAGTATTTCAAATATGTAAATTATAATGCATTCTATTTAATAAAATGGAATTTATAGTATTAATTTCTATCAAGTGTATTTTTGTTACTCATTGATTTATTACTGTAAAAGAACAGCAAGAACAAAATCAATAGCAAATTCAAAATGTAAGGGCAAGAACAAGAACATACTATAGTACATTTGGCAAATTATCGTTTCACGATTTTTGAGAGTTGTTTAAAGGTGTTGATAATATTAAATAAATTAAACTAATTAACTAATAACTAGTAACCAAACTAAATAACTAACTAATAACCAGAAATATCAAATGCATTTAATGGTATTATCTTAAAATTATATATGTTTTATTATTTTAATCTTTAGGATTTAAATATTGTTCCATCTTAACAGGTAAATTTATTGCCGCGGATAGCGAATTAATTAATTTGGTTGTTAATGAACTCGAAGCCTTGGAATCAAAGAAGAGAAATAGGGTTTTTTAATGATTTGTTGAATTATATGTGCTTATTGATAAGATTAGTATTAATAGCAATTAAGGTATGGAAAGACTTGGTCCGAGATTCAAGGTCTTTCGGGTCTTGGAATAATGTATCTGACTTTAGATAAGTCTTCTGTATCCTTTTACTATTAAGCTTCTTCTGGGGTCACGTGCTACGTCACTTGGATAATCGTGCCGATCGGAAGTTTGATGTCCAATTCAATCTAAGATCCACCTCACGAGTAGATGTATCGGAAATCGGATCTTAAATTTAACCGACGTCACGGTAGGGTGCGCGGTCAACTATGTAAATCAAAACTATATGTAGTACCATATAAAAATCAATTAATGAAATTTTTTCGAATTTAGTGATCAGAATATTGATTGGGATTACGTATTTATTCACTTGTTAAATAATGAATGATTTGTATATTTTTAGATGTCTAGAGAGAATTGCTTTACTTTTTTCAATTATTTTAGTATAAATCAATTCTTAAGCATGTTTATAACAAAGTTACGTTGAAATTTTTAGCACTAATATTTAAATTTTAATTTAACTCATATTAAAGGGTTATTTCAGTATAAATTTATATATGAATTTGTACTAATTTAGGTATTTTTTTTAAACTGTAGTTCTAGACTAGCTTTACACTGTAACAGAACCGGTTTTTTTAATGAATTAATAAATTTGTAACTGCATCCAATAAAGCAATCAAATTTTAAGATCAGGTGTAATGTGAAATCAAAACAAAAACAGTTTTTTTTTAAAGAAATCGTTAATAACTCAAAATTGACTATGAAACTATTATTTACGTTCTAACAAAAAAAATTTCTTGCTAAATTTTGGTATAGACTATGCCCTTTCCACTCTAAGCCTCACTCTAACCCTAACCTTAATTGCAAAGTTTTATTTTAATAAAAAAAATTGGTTTGATAATTATGTTACACCTGATCTTAATTACAGTTACAAATCAATTAATCCTTTTTTAATAATCTATATTAATTATTAATAAAAATTAATTCAAAATTTTATTAAAAGTTATTTAAAAACCGGTTCTGTTACAGTGTAGATCTAGTCTAGAACTACATTAAAAAAAAAACATATACAATTTTGTTTGTTGGTTGTGTAGAAAAATATACCTAAATTAGTACAAATTCATATGTGAAACAACCCTTTAAAAAATCCGAAATTAATGACCATCATATATGACCCTAACTAGGTTTTGATCAATTAGTCTCATTATGATCGCATGACGGGGATTTACGTGTTATTAATCATAATTTTTATCATAAATTTTTTTCTTTCTTATTTGTTATTTCCATGGGTGATAACAGGCATTTGTTATTTCCCGAAAAGTTAAAAATATAAAAGGAGACAAAGAAAATGATAATAACGAGTCCTTGTCATGTCGTCATATGAAACGTCGAATAACTCATTTATTTCGCCGTGCCGGAGAAATAATTAAAATATTCCTCCCAGTGTCGCACTTATGGGGCACAAAGCGCCCCACATATGCTGCTGGGGAAATATTTCATTATTCCCACCGTCCCGGGGAATAAATAGTACTTATTACTTATTTTATTACTTTTCTTATCTTAACTTAGCAGGTAATGTATTGCTGCCGATTCTGCCGATTCTGTTCAAACTCAAAGCAACCAAATTTAAACCATTTGTTGTACCTTGATATATTGACACATAGTTGATTAAAAGAATATACTCTAAAATTAGATATTTTAAATTTTTGGAGATCAACGCAATTGAAAACCATATGGCAGATCTTTACATAAAATCATATGGGCGAAAATTTTTAATGGGAATTTTATGTTTAGTGCTGTAGTAATCAAATATAGACGGTTTCATAAGGGTTTCATAAGCAATTTTATTAAAAAATGATCTGCCAATCAGATACAACTCTACAATTCAATTTTATTATATTTTACCGGTAATTATGCAATATCACATAAATGATTGGACTAAATCTTGCAAAATATCATCATATAATTTTTAATTAATAAAAAATGGCTTAAAATTAATCTTAAAATTAATTTTTAAAATTGGCTAATACTTAGCAATAAACCAAAGCAATAGCTTATTCTACTTTTGGTTAGATTTTTATATATAATATAAAAATACTATACTTTCAAACTTATTAATTAAAAAAATACAATAATTATTTAAAAATAAAGCTGCTAAGTTGTAGTAAATTTGTTAAACTACAAAATAAAAGCTTTTTTTTAATATCATTTATATTAATTATTTTTAGCTTTAAAGTTTGGTGAAGTCTTTAGATATCTTGTACTAGTAAAAATATAGATTATACAATTTAATTTTTGATTTTCATAATATGAACTTTTAAATACAGTAACCCGGTCAGGTTATAAAAACCAATTAATTAATTTTGCATGGCCTAATTTAAGATACGTACGTAGTAAATTTTTTTTTGTCTGGAGCGTAAGGCTGTAAGAAACTTACATGTATTTTCCAGACGTAGCGGCAGTATTATCACATAATCGGGAAAAAATCTCCGATACGTAATCTGTATTACAAACGATTGGATATTTATAGTCGACATTTATCTTTAAAATAATTTGCTCCAGATTTATTACAATCTTTGTTTTCCTAGTTTTACGTATTGTATATATTTTATATATACGATATATATATATATATATATCGATATATATATATATATCGATATATATATATATATATATATATTTGTACGTACATGAAATCTCAACCAATCACGAGAAAATTATACTATATACAATCGCAATAGACAGGCCATAAAAAAATGTTCATGTAATTTTATATTATATTTTAACTTAATTGGTTGATAAATCATTGTATAACGATAAAGACAAGAATTTTATGTTTAAAATAAACAAGCATAAATTAAAAAAACTGTATAACGAAAATAATTAAACATATAAAGTAACGTAATTCTGATCATTTGAATCTAGTTTTTAGTTCAAAATCTTATTTCTAATTAATTTTAACTAAATATTCCGGTCCAATTAGATAGTTTTCAAACTTGATTTTCCAACACGTCGATGCATTTGATTTACATGCCATTGAATTTGAAATTAATAATTTATTAATATTAAATATATATATATATATCATATTATATATAAAAAAAAAAACAAAAACAAAAACAAACAAAAGTATAATAGTTTAATTCCTAGATATAGCAGAGTTTTAGAGCAAAATTTTATAATTACAGAAACAACTCATCGTTGATTATAGGTAAAGGGGTAATTAAAGGAGCTTTCCTAAATGAGTGAGCTCATTACTCCTTCCCTGTAATGATGCCTTTTGAGGTGAATGAACTTTCATGCGCCGTAATTACGTATTTTATGCATTTTTATGCATTGCGTACAATCGCCAAAATTTCGGCCAATCAAATGCCGCAATTAAAGATTTAAATACTGTTAACGCCCTTTGACAGTTTTTACAAAAAAAAAAAAAAAAAGACACAATAGCAGATAGACGCAGTAGACTGTATAGAAAAAAGTTAAATATAAACTAAAAATGCCAATTAAAAGGTCTAGAGCTACTCCTGATTCTAATCCTGCAAGTAAATCAACTAGAGGTTACTATCCTGATCACTTGTTCGCTTTTGTGTATTTATGATATATATACTTAATAAAATTTTTTTTTTTAGCGGGGCGTGCGAGACCACTTTCAGCTTCTCTAAATACATACGGAAAACGTGGGAAAGAACGCGCCGGTGCAGATACTGAACAAGAAGATTCAATGCAAATTGATAAATCCATGTCAAATCACGAAAGTTCGCAGGATTCAACCAGACAAGAAATTCAAGATTCGCAGGATTCACAAATAGATTTTATACAAGAAAATTTTAATAGAGTAACAGTACGAGGTGACTCACTCGCATCACCTCGTGCTCCTAAATACCGTAGTAAATTTGCCATAGACGTCCAAACCCCTACAATTATTGATCGTGGTTCAGAAGCTACTTCTGTTCTTGTTATGGGAAATAATGATGTAGGGCAGTTGGGCTTAGTTGATATAGAAGAAGCTTCAAAACCTGTTCGTATTCCAAATCTTGATAAATTCAAGATAGTGGACATTAGCGTGGGATGTCTTCACACCGTTGCTTTGACTCGTGATGGAAAGGTTACATATATGATTTATTTATTATTATCTTTTAATATAATAAAAATAAAATCTAAATAAATCTTTTTTTTTTTTCAGGTTGTCACTTGGGGATGCAACGATCATGGTATGTTTTTATTATGTAAATTTATTAATAACTAAATATACAGATGAGATTAAATTTTAAATAATTATTATAGGAGCATTGGGGCGAGTCACGACTGACGAAGAAGACAAAGAATTACCACCAAATGTAGGTAGAGAGAACGTACCTGACTACGCACAAGGTCTTGATGATGTTACAATAGTAAAAGTGGCATGTGGTGGCAGCATTACATTGGCCTTATCAGATGATGGTCAGTTGTATATGGCTGGAACATTCAAGGTATGTCAATTCTTAATTCATGGTAGGTTATTAAGTTGATACTTAATAATATATTAATGTATTACAGGACAAAAATGGCGTTTTGGGATTTTCCGCCAAGGAAAAAAAACTTCTTCAACAATCGACGTTTATAAGATACGATTCAACTACCAAATTCAAGATCGCTGATATAGCAACTGGAACGGATCATGCATTATTGTTAACGACTGAGGGTTTCTTATATGCTTGGGGAAGCGGAGATGCCCATCAACTTGGAAGAAGAGTTTTAGCGCGTCATGTTCGAGATGGCTTGAATCCTGAGAAAATCGCTGTCAAAGGCATTGAGAAAATCTTTGCAGGTGCATATCATAGCTTTGCAGTTGCAGAAAATGGACCTGTTTATGCTTGGGGTATGAACAACTATGGCCAATGCGGAATAGAAACACGTGATGAATTTATCAGGCAACCAATAAAAATAGATTTCTTCAAAGATTTACCAAAAGTACAACAAATTGCAGCGGGAGAACACCATTCGTTGGTACTCTTAGATGATGGGTCGATATATAGTTTTGGCCGAGCTGATTATGGACAATTAGGAATAGGTGACGCTATTGATAAAGACGATGATGATAAAATCAAACGACAAAAAATAGGTCAAAAAGTTGTCACACCAACTAAAATTAAGAACCTTGCTCCATGTACTTTCATTGCAACTGGTGACCATCATTCCATTGCAGTTAGTAGTATTGGTGGTGATAAAGTATTTACATGGGGATTTGGAGAGTCATACGCGTTAGGAGGTGGTGAAGAAGATAAAAAAGAACCATATCTCGTAGTCGGTAAAAATCTTACAGGACGATCCATCTTAGCAATTGGTGGAGGTTCTCAACATACTGTAATATTAATTCAGTGAAACCTAATCAATAAAAACAACATTAACTAAATAAGCACGGCAGGATCTTATACCTACCGTTAAAGGTTGTATCCGCTATAGCGTAAACGATGTTTTTTAGAATCATTTTGTTACGAACTTTAAGTAAAATTGGTTGCAATAAAATAAAAAGAACACTTGAATTATATTTATTTTGCAATGAGCTACAAAAAAAAAAAAAAAAACCAAAAAAAAAAGCAAATTATGTACTGTAGGTTGAATAAAGTGCCATTCCGTGTTTGAAGTAGTTAGGAAAATGCAAATTGAATTTAATACACGTAAGTATCATGAGTGAAATATTTTCTGTAAAAAATAAATAAACTTGTTAACATTGGATTGAATATAGTTGGAGTTGGACATCAAATTTTAACATTTAATATCATGTAAAGTAATCGCTGAGGTCGACTGGCGAGCTGCAATACAGGAATCATAAGTTCTTATTTTCTTTTAAAAGGTTTGGCACACGTTTAAATATTTGGTTAACATAAAAAAAAACGCCTATAGATAATACGTATTCAAGAGTCTGAACGTCTCAAGTAAGCAAAAATCCATCCATCCATCCATCATACTGAATCTTTACACCAATAATTTGTGATTAATAAATAAGTGGTGGCTTTTATATAAATAAACTTATTTTAAGTGTTTGGAAGCTTTGTTTCCTATATACGTTAAAGTAGGTTACGAATATTATCATTGTAGTCTTGCTTTTAACCTTATTAAATAAAATTTAAGATTAATTGCAGAGGTAAATAAAAAGATAAAAATCTGATGAAGGTACTAAAAAGATGTTTTACAAAAACTCTCAAAACAATAGGTGGATTATAAATAAGTGAGAAAAAAATTAAAGTAAAATGAAAAGATAAATCTTAATTAAAAATTGTAAATATTTTATTACATAAAAAAAAAAAAAATAGTGTTTTCTTATTATAAATAATAATCTAATTTGTAATAACAATTATTAAAATAAATTTAATTGGCTAATTACAATAATAATAATACTAATATATAGTATATAGAACTGTAGCAATTTTAATACTATATATAATTGCCAAAAAAAAAAAAAAATACTATATTAATAATGAAAAAAATAGGGTTACTTGTAACAAGTTATTATATATTGTATACTACATATACAAGTTTTTTGACTAATTTTAAGGTTGTTATACAGTATCTGATATTATAGATTATTACAATTTTGAAACCTATCAATATGTATAATTTATCAAAGCTCACTATATAATTATTAATATAAATTTTTTACTTATATAAAATCTTACTGATTGTCTAAAACATGAATGTTTATTTTTATTCAAAAAGATATATATATTTAAATCTGGTATAAATACAAAAATTTATCAATTTTTTAACTACTCTTTTTTTTTTTTTAATATCTTCAATCATAAGAAAAAAAAAAACTAAACCTGATTATAAAAAAATTTTATTTATCTAATCACTATATTTAATTTCAGGTCTTTAAGCTAATTTCTTGAAAAGATAATAACAAAGCAATTTAATAAATCTATCAAATATACAGTCGTCCTCCTCTACAGTCACCTCCTATATTTCACACCCTTTATAAGCACCATTTTTGACCAATTTATTATTAAAAAAACTTTATATAATCACATTATTATTAAATCACATCTTTTTTATGAAAACAAACCGCGTGATTATAGAGGAGGACGACTGTATATAAAATTTCAAAGACAAATTTAAACAGGCTTAAACAAGTTCAAACTTACTTTTTAAGTTAAAAATACGTATCGGTATTGATAAAATTAAAATATATGGGCTGCCGTCAACAGAAATCAAGCAGATTGACATCTTAAAAAAAATTGATCCTTAAACTTTCATAGCTTATATCTCGATGAATTTTGAGGCTACCTTGACGAATTAAAATTCAAAAGTACCTAAGAACTAGACTTTCTTTTGAATATAAATTCATCAGGGTAGTCTCAAATTTATCGAGATATAAGCTGTGAAAGTTAAGGGATTAATTTTTTTTAATTGCAATTGACGTCAGCCCAATATGCTAAAATATAATTAATATACTGTATTAAAAAACTAATCTAAAATTTATTTTAAAAATTTTTATATAAGATAAGAATTTAGAGCTTGAATTGTAAATAAAGGATTATGTGAACTTTAGCAAGTATTATAAATTTAAGGGGAACAATAAGGGCTCGGAAAGTGAAAATAATTACAAATTCGGACCCAAATTAAAAATAACTACATAAGGGCCTAATTTTTAAAAAATATATATTACATATAAAGGCCCAAATCTATTGATGGGGCTTATAACGATAGCAAAATCGCGATTATAGGATTATAGATTGTTTTATTATAGATATTTAGAGTTATCTATATACTGGTTATAAGTTAAAGGGATAAATAAAATACTAGTTATAATCATTTTCGCTTAAATATTGCATAAAAATAGCGTTAAACTAGCGCAATTATTCATAAGGCGAAGTTTCAACAGAGTAGCTCTCTATAATAAAGCTGAACGATATCTTCTATATTAGTAATGCCATGCCAATTCGTAATGTTTTACTTGACATCATAGTGGCTTGTTATAACAATCATGCAAAATTTATTAAATTTAAAAACTTTTTCTTTTCTTATTTGCTCATTACATATTTTATGCGATTGCTTACGTTTCTTACTAACGATCAAGCCACAGGCGTGAATAGCGTCGCGGTTATTTTGGGCCCTTATATATAATATTTTTTAAAAATTAGGCCCTTATATGTAAATATTTTTAATTTGGGCCCGTATTTGTAATTATTTTCACCTTATTTGTAAATTCCCCTAAATTAAATGTTCGTAATAATAGAATAATCAATTACATATATATGATGATATTATTTAAATGATACGATATTAAATAAAATGTTTGTAACGATAGTTTTAGGATTCTCTTACAATTTTTTTGAATTGGTAAGGTGTGCTGTTTAAATATACATGTTGAGAATTTGTGATTTTTATTGAATACCGTATAGACTCGGAATAACGCGCAGGGACATTATTTCAAATTTCAGCCTAAATTAAGCTTAATTCGGGCCGAATTTGAAATAACGCCCTGCGCGTTATTCGAGTCTATACGGGAACAATAATATTATAATTTTTAAAACTCGGATGAAGAATCTGATGTTATTGAATATTATACTGCAATTCATATGAAAAATAAATAATGAAAATACAGTGGCTATTATACAAAAGAATTAGTCGTTAATCATACATTAACACCATTAATGACACCAATGGAAAATTGGAATATGAAGAACGTTATACTTTTAATTGAAGTATGAAAGGAAAAACCAAGAGAATTACGAATTGCCAATACAATCAAAGAGCGTGAACACGGACTTGAACATGAATAATAAAACTTGAATAGTCTATGAAATAATAAAAATATAGCATTAAATCGATATTTACGAAAACCACACGATCTTATGATAGCTTCGAAAATAATTATCGTTATATATTTAACAAGTTAGCAGTCACACGATTTGTCACATCTAAAATTTTATCATATGATTTTCATAAATTACACAAATCGGCGAAATTACATTTTTTAAATTTTTACCTAAAAGCTTAGTTGAAGTACACTACGTTTTCTAAGACAAAATTATTGCTGAAGTTTCTACGAGCTATACGGTATTAAAAATATGAGAAACGAACCTCTCCTTATAAAGTACCATACTCTTGAACATGAGCCATTATTTTGTCTACTTTCGACACATTCTTTTCAGGTTTGCAAATTCATGACTCAAAAAGTGTTTCACTAGACGCGTCTGAACGAGAGCTTTCGGCAAAATCAAACTTTGAAAGGCTGGTACATTATTAAAGTAACGAAGAAAATCAAGGAAAACTGTTTTGCCATATGTAGATCACCCATTAATTCAATATAATTGATATGTTTAAGCTATTCACTTTCGCTAATA